TTAATTTGAGGGAATACAGCACTTGTTGATATGAACATGGAGACAGAGGGATGCATTTTAAAATAAAAGACAAGGGGAATATAAATCACCGTTACACAATGCACTCAGAATACAAAAACAGGGTCACATGGTGAACAGAGTGAGTAGCTGACGGCGAAATGTATCGGGATTAGACATGGAGGCTATGCAATCAGGGAGGTCATTCCAAAGACGAACGGCCCGATGCAGTGGTGATGAATTGAATGCATTAGTTGACCCGTATATGCGCATGAAGCTGAACTGATTATGCAATCTGCGTGAAAAAGAGTGAGGTGCTTGAAGCTGAAGCCGCGTTCGTTTATTAGAGGTAACATATTTCTGGAACAGACAGAGAAGAGCAATATTGCGACGGCTATCCTATGACGGCAGCTGAAGGTCTGATTTAATTTGCGTTATGTTTGACGTGATATCGTAGTTTCGTGATATGAAGCGGGCACCTCTATTTTGAATCCTTTCTACCATAATAATGAAGTAGTTTTGATGAGGAGACCAAATTGCTGAGGCGAATTTTAATATTGGCAGAATAAAGGTACGAAAGGCTAGTTTTCGAATATTAGTAGGGGAATTTCTCAAGTTGCGGCGTAGGTAGCCCAGTGAACGTGATGCTTTGGCACAGGTAGACTCGATATGTGAGGCCCATGAAAGATTCTCAGTGAGAAGAACACCTAGGTATTTGTAGGAAGAAGTGTGGGAAAGCATGGTATTGTTCAAGTAATAGGAGAATTCAGAGTTTACGTGTTTATGGGTGAAAGACATTACCTCGCATTTTGTTAGGTTCAGTTTCATAAGCCACTTGTCGCACCAGTTACAAATATGGTTGAGATCTGCTTGAATGGTTAAGTGGTCATTACTGGAGTTTATAGAGCGGTATATTATACAATCATCGGCAAATAGACGCATGCAAGAAGTAATCTCGGAGGGTAAGTCATTAATGTAGATTAAAAATAGTAAGGGCCCAAGGACGCTGCCTTGCGGTACGCCCGAACTAACAGAAGAAAAAGGGGACGCAAGATTGTTCCACTTCGGACCTAATGTCTTTATAAGCGTAATTGGAATGCCATCTGGGCCTGTTGATGTACTACTAGGAACCCTTTTCTCAGCCCTTTCCCACTCTCGTTGTGAAAATGGAGCCATTGCACCACTTGATTCGTCCTTGTCTATTGTGGTGCATAAAGTACTTCTTTGTTGAAATTTTTCTGTCACCCTTGTTCTGATATATTCAATAACTTCGTCCCCTTCTAGCCTATCACCTTGGGCTGTAGTTATAAAACTCTGCTCTAGGCTCGTCTCATTTCTTAGGGAGTTCAGATGGTTCCAAAATTTCGCAGCTGCCTTTCTATCTTTTTTATGTACTTCTGCCAGCCACTGAGCTCCCTTTCTTCTAATCTTTTCATTGATCAGAAGGGATGCAGCCCTTCTACAGCTTAGAAAGGTTTCCCATTTTCTTTCAACATCATCTGTCGGTTCACCCCGCTGCTTAGCATGTCTGTGTTCCCTAGAGGCTTCCTGACGTTTTGCTATGGCTCTCTTAACTTCCTCATCCCACCAATTTTTGGTTTTGTGTCTTCTTTTCCGGGGTGACTTGTTACGCGACTTAGCAAGCTCTTGCTCAAAGAGTCTAATTAGATTCGTGTATGTCCACACTGTCTTATTATCCTCCGTGATTACTTTCTCAATTTGTTTAGTGGCTATTTCAATTTGACTTTCTGAATAAAAATTTTCCTTTAGTTGCTCATCTTGTCTCCTTCCCACTTTCACTGCTCTTCCAAAACTTAGCTTGATACGTTTGTAATCACTACCCAGACTTCTGGAGCCACCTTCATCTATGTGCATTCCCCTCAGCTTATCATACATCCTATGTGACATGAGTGCATAATCTATCGTCGACTGCAGCCTTCCTACCTCCCATGTTATTTGCCCTTCACACTTCTCGGTACTGTTGCAAATGATCAAATCAAGCTTTTCACACATATCCATGATCATTTTGCCTGTCGGGTCTGTATACCCATCTATATCTTCTATGTGCGCATTCATGTCTCCTAGTATAATTATCTCGCACTCTCTTCCTAACTCCTGAATGTCCTTTGATATACACTCTACCATTTCCTGGTTTTCCTCTCTGGCCTTTGCTCCCGTCTACAAGTACGCGAAACCAAGGAGTGTCATTTGACCTGCCACTTTCCCTTTTAGCCATAAATGTTCCTTGCACTCCTGCTTGACCCTTTGCCAGTCTGTACTTTTATGAATGAAGGCCCCAATACCACCCCCCTTTCTGCTGCCTTCTGTTCTATTACAATATTCCCACGCGTAGTCCGGATTCTTCGGAGGTTGTTCCATGTTCCTGAGATGTGTTTCTACAAAACCGTACACCATCGGCCTCTCTTCCCTTAGCTATTCTTCTATCTCTTCCCAATTAAGCCTGTTCCTACCACCCTGCATGTTAATATACCCTATGTCTGAATGAGCTCGGCGCTCGTGGCTACGTCTATTTATGCCCCGGACTCTACCTATCTTAGACATTGGTGCCACTTTGGGATCGTATCTGTCCATAACACCTGTCGAAGAGTCTCCCTGGTTGTTTTCCTCGTTACTAGCTATGCTGCACCCCGAAGGGCTCGCTTGCCCCCCAAAAAAGCTACTGCGCGTCCTGCAAGTCGCCAACCCACCTCATGACCTAGCCGCCCATCGAAGTGAATTCTGTCTCGTTGAAAACCACCCCACCTATGCACCTCTCTGTTTATTTCCACCACCTCAAAGCCTTTCTCTCGACTCATCCGCCATATCTCTTGGTTTGCGTTGACAACCGCTCTTTGCAGGTTGCTATCACGCACCGGTACCTCCGGTATCGTGCATATCACTACCTGTACCTTAGGAGCAGTGGCGCGCATGTCATCGACGCCTTTCGCCAGTGTGGCTGCTAGTCCTGCTGTATCTTCATTTAAGACATCGTTTGAACCGCCTGAAATTATCACGAGGGTTCGTCTATCAGCTGTAGTTTTGAGTTTTGCGCTCACTTGCCTCATGACTGCTTCAAGCTTGCGTCCTGGGAACGCCCCTATTGCAACCCTCTCGTCACCTCTTACCCTCTCTTTGATGGTTTCTGTGCATCGATTTAAATTTGAGTCCCCGGCGATTATCACATGCTGTGACTTTTCAGCTGGAGCGTCCTGCACCTGGGGGCTACTTGCACCTGTGATGCCGGCTTCTTTGTCCCCTCCCAGCCCCACCACTACCTCGCTGAAGCTGGGCCTTGCGACAGTTGAACCGGCTAAACCTGTTTTTTCCAAACTTGCTTGCTCTTCCTTCTCCACCGTTCTGGTTGCCGGTTCTCTACTGTTCTCTCCGTAGGCCTTTTCTTTATTCAGCTTCGCTAGGGCTTCCTCGGTGGACTTCAGTCTTTCTCCCATTGCCCTCGTTTTCTCTTGCTCTGTCGCCAACGCAGTCTCGAGCTCATCGATTCTCACCAGCAGTTCACTTTGTGCAACCATCATTCTCTCCATTTCTTCCTCGACCTCACATTGCCTACACTTCGCGTCAGCCTCTTCTCCATCCGCTTCTACGCTTAGGTCCTTTTCAAACCCACTCCACATCCTCAACACTTTACAGTCTTTTTAACCATGTCTTTCTGACACCAATTGTCCCTATACTTGATAATTACTAAACTCGAGCTGTGCACTACGAAAAAAAAAAAGAAAGTCTAAGCTCTACTACGAAAATTTTCGTGTTCAGTGTACACGCACCTCCCCAACGGGGTGGCAAAAGAAAAAAAAAACAACAAACAAAACAAAAAATTTCAAACACACACACCCGCACTAACTAATAAATACCTGGTGACTGGCCCCCGAAAAAGCAGTACCATAAAATAAGTGCTACGAAGATTTCAACCGCTGCCTTATAATTATAAAGACAAGCTCAAAACATGCAAAAACACTTATCTGCGCAGTCGATCCGGAGCGCTCGAAAAACACGTCCATCCACCTTGACAGCCAGAACAGAACAGAAGTCTCGGTCGCGAGCGCCACCGCACGGCACTTGCTGAAAACTGAAGGCAGGCCAACTCCGCTGGGAGCGCGAGCCATTCCTCAGGCATTGTTTAGAGGAGGCGTTGGCCCGGCTTGATCCCTCGCGCCTCCTCGCGTATGCGCCGCCGACGCCGAGAGGCGCATTTGACGCGTGCCAGTGGTTGGCACGCGTATGCTCGGTAAGCCAAATGGTAATTGTTGACATTGTTCACGAAAGCATAAGGATAAGGAAAGCATAATGATATTGTTGAAATGAACGGCGCCGTCGATGCGGGACGATGGACATAAACTCCGAAACACTTCACTGTTGCTTTTGGAGAGTTAGGAAGCTAGTGCCTGGGCGTCTGTCGCCCGCATAAAATGACAGGAGCGTTAATTTTGGCATTCTGTCGGTCTTTTTAACAGACCGTAATGCGCGACTGCACTTTGAAGTGTTTTTCCTCGCGGGCTCTTTCATCGCGATCAGGGCCAATCTGGATCGGATTTTGAAATCAACTTAGACCGCTGTTACATGGCAAAAACCTACCGGATCATGTTTGGTGCAGACGTCAGCAAAACCGCGATCATATCAATCCCAATCACACTTAATCACAAGTGGCATTGTAGGGGCGATTGATCTGGATCGAGCCCGATGCAAATCGGCCCTGATCGCGAGAAAAATTTCCTTGTGACACAGGCTTTGCTTTTTAGCGCGATAGCTTTGCAACTGGTTTTCAAGTCTCATTAGTGTGCATTAGCACTCTGGTTTAACCAACAAAACATTTTAATTTTTAATTCCATTGATGGCCGGTGCATCGTTATGAATGCAGAATTACGTAAAATGCTTGGCTACCATGCATGAATTGAATGCTCGTTTAACAGTAAGGTATTCGAAATGTGCTTTTCTGTAATGCACTAAATTAGATTGTTGTTGTGGCTCATGAAATTGCAGGATTTCATTTCAATCCTCATTTTATGAATATCCCAAATTGTGGACACCTAATCGAAGACGACTGAAGAAGACTGCTGTGCCTTCGCGGAGCTTGCCCATAAGAACACATGAAAAAGAAGACCTGGCAAGGATTCAGGAAGCAGCAGCGCGAGATGCCCGTGCCTCTGCTAGACATAAGCATGGTATGTTTGTTACAATTAACATTTATTATGACACGCCACACAGGGCATACAACAAAGAAACCTTGGAAGGCTGTGGAATCGACCATAAGTGGGTCGCACTGTGGTATATTGTTTATTAGTCGGCATTTGTTCTGCTAGATTAGAAAAGATAGTAAGCCCATAGATAGTCATATTTGCAAGTTTTTTCAGCGCGCGAACACAGCAAAAAAGGGACAGGACAGGGTCCATGAGGCTGAAGAGTTCACGACACTTCTTCTGTTTAGCTGCTGTGCGATCATTCCCGAGAAGTTGTATTTGCAGGGCTTTATTCTTTATTCTTTATTCATCAGATACCCCGCAGCACTCGAAGGCGTTATAGCAGGGGGGTTACATCAATAAATGACGTACATCTCCGTTCACCGACACAATACAACTTTGTTCACACATAAATAACTGAAATACATTTTCGTTCACACACATAGCAGAATTTTGTTCACACATAATATATCTTCGTTCAGGTTACAACACGGGTTTACAGCAGTGAATAAAATATATCTTCGTTCCCACTATGTACTTGCATTTCAGTTAGCCTGTTCCACTGTTTAATCGTTCTAGGGAAAAATGAATTGGCATACATGTTCGTTTTAGCTGGGTATTCCCGAATTTTGCAACTATGATCAAAACGTTTTGAAGTGTAATGAGGGTTGTGTGGGTATATTTCTCTATTAATTCCAGTTTTATTGTAGTAAATGCAGTAAAGAAATTTTAATCTCTGCTTCTGGCGGCGGTCAGAAAGACACTCCCATCCTAGCTCAGCCTTCATTGCAGTGCAGCTCTCCCCCCTTCCGTACCGTCCCAAGACGAACCTGGCAGCACGATTTTGTAATTGTTCCAGAGCAGCAATGAAGGTTACCTCGGCGGGGTCCCACACGACACAACCGTATTCTAAGATAGGTCTGATACAAGTAGTGTATGCCATACGTTTTAAATTCACACGCGAACATCGCAGGTTTCTTTGAATGAAATTTAAAGCCTTACCAGCTTTGGCTATGAGAGTGTCAACCTGAGGCCTCCATGAACATTCAGATGACAGTATTATACCTAGGTACTTATATGTACTCTCTTGTTTCAACTGTACATTGTTCAGATGGTACTGTGACTGAAATGGTTTCATCTTTTTGGTAAATGAAATATGTACACACTTTGTTATATTCAAATTCATTTTCCATTTGGTACACCAGCTATAAATGAGTGATAAGTCTTTCTGAAGTTCTAATACATCATTGTGATCAAAAATTTTTCTGTACACAACACAGTCATCCGCAAACAATCGTATAGAAGATGAAATTCCTGCAGAGATATCATTAACATAAATTAAAAACAATAGCGGACCCAGGACGGAGCCTTGTGGGACCCCTGAGGTAACATCGGTGTATTCGGAGCATTTTCCATTCAGTACTACGGTTTGTGTTCTTTGGGAAAGGTAACATTCGATCCATTTAAAAAGTCTTATCAATGTTCAGGGTGGTAAGCTTAAACAGTAAGAGTGAATGTGACACCGTGTCAAACGCTTTCCGAAAATCCAAGAACACACCGTCAAGCTGTCCTACAGTATCTACGCCCGATATTACGTCATGATAAAATTCGACTAATTGTGTTGTGCAAGACAGCCCTCTGCGAAATCCATGCTGCTCGTTGATTAGTACCTTATGCTTGTTTAAATGAGTTATTATTTCTTTGTATAAAATATGTTCGAGGATTTTACATGGGATAGACGTAAGCGATATTGGTCTATAATTACCAACGTCTTTTTTGGACCCACCTTTATGTATCGGTACCACGTGCGCAATTTTCCAGTCATGTGGTAAGGTACCTGTCGCTAAAGATCTTTCAAAAATTGCATAAAGATACATAGAAATTGACCCCGCACAACGCTTGAGTACACGCGGAGAAATTTCATCTGGACCACTAGATTTACTCTCATCAACGTCCTTCAATAGTTTTTCAATTCCATTAACACTAAGCTCGACAGGAAGCATAGGCAAAATGCTCATAATAGTTTGATGATAATTACAGCTGTGTTTAGGTAAGAATACCGAGTGGAAAAAGTTGTTTAGGCATGCAGCCTTATCCTCGTCATTCGTAATTACCGTGCCGTTATAATTTAACTCCTGTATTCCAAAGGAATCTGAGCCACACTGTTTTAGGTACTTCCAAAACATTTTAGGATTTGATTTCATTTTGTTGCTCAGCTCAGTGAAGTAATCATCTTTAGTTTTTTTATCTTTAGCTTATATTCGTGGGTAATCGACTTCAGTTTTTCAAAGTGAGCAACTGATTTGCTTTTCTTGAATGCGCCTAATGCCCTCTTCCTTTTGTTGATAAGTTTTAATATATGTGCTGTTACCCATGGTTGTTTGTGCTTTTTTATCCGGGATGAATGAACACTGGGGATATGTCTATTTGTTAACTCGGAAAGTATATTCTTAAATTTGTCCCACATATCATGCACATTGCCCTCCTCAAAAAGACATTCGAAAACAGGGAACGAATTACGAAGTTTTTTAGAAATTGCATCGTAGTCACCCTTGTCATAAAAGTAGATCCTTCTACTCGTAGGTAACTTCGCACACACTTTTTTCTTTTGGATACAAGCAACAACAGCAAGATGATCACTAATTCCTGGAATCACAGTCACGTAATTTACGAAATTTGGCGAGTTACAAAACAACAAGTCCAACACAGCGTCGTTGCGAGTAGGGGTGGTAACTTACTGCGTCAGCCCAAACCTGTCGACGATATTTTTCATCGCACGGTTCATGTGCCCGCTTATACTTATACAGGAACCATTACCCCAGGATAAGCCAGGCAGATTAAAATCCCCCCCTAGGAGTATTGTCTGGGCTGATGCTTCAGAAAGAATTTCATCTAATGTTTGCATTATGCTACTATCTGAGCTCGGCGAGCGATAAACCACTCCGACCAAAAACGCGAAGTTATCAGGCAGTGTTATCTTGCACCATACAGACTCCAGTGCATCGCACTTATAATCAACTTCAAATGACTGTAAGCAAGAACGAACAAGTAAAAAAACGCCACCACCTGCTGTGAGCCTATCTTTGCGATAGATGACGTAATTTTGCGGAAACACCTCACTATCAGCAATCGAGGGCTTTAGCCAAGATTCTGTACCAAGGACTATATCTGCGTTAACACTCTCAATTAAGCCCAAGAGCTCAGCAACTTTATTAACTACGCTGCGGCAGTTCACGATGACGGCAACAAGTTCTTGACATCGGTATTTCTCCTTTTTTCTAGTTTGTCATCGCCTGCGTACTGGGACGACCTCTTCTTTTTCGTCATCCCACCTGAAAGCCCTGCTGTTAATAATCAGTTTGTCAAAATTCAGCTTCACTTTATTGTTCTTATCCTGTCTTTTTGTCTTGGCATATTCCCACAGCTTATTTCTGATACTTCTTGTCTCATGTGAGTAATCTTCGCTAACGCTGTACTGGGAATTCTTGAATCTTTTGGCATTGAGAAGCACTGCCTGACGCTCTTTGTACAATGAGAATTTAACAATAATTGGCCTCTTCTTATTCTCATTATAGCGTCCTAAGCGATGTGCCCTTTCCACAGATTCGAGTTCCATTCCAAGGCTCGTTTTGCAAATATTCTTTATTATAGCTTCGGATTCATCCCACGATTCTGAGGTTTTATCGTCAACGCCATAGAAAACAAGATTTTTCCGGCGACTTCTGTTTTCGAGGTCATTTGTTTTCTTTTGCAGATCTTTCACCTGTTGCATAAGTTGCCGTATTATAGCTGCCTGCTCCGTTACAATCTTGCTGAGGTCCCTTATCTGGTTCTGAGTTTGGCTAAGATTATCTTTTACTTCCATCAGTATGTTCTCATTTTTTTCAAACCTGGATTCGATGCCGTTTAATTTTGAAATTAAAGTTTCCTGCCCACTTTGCAAACATTTCAGCACTTCCATCTCCGGTGTCTTAGCAGGACCTGGGTTCAGTTCAATATCCCCCGCGAGTATTAACAACAAAATCAAATACAGCACTCTGTTAGAAAATAATCGCAATCTCTTCAGACGCGACGTATGCATCGTGCATTCGTGGTTTTTGTTACGGACAGTTAGCAACGTGGGAGGAGCCGGCAATGCATATACAAGTCTCCGCGATTGAGATGGGTAGTAATGACTAACCTGCACCAGCAACAGTTGCATCAGTGACATGTCGGCAAGTGTGCCGGCTCCAAATCCCACGAAGCCATCGTGCTGAGTGCCTATATACGCCTGATCGGCACCACGTGAGTTCTGTTGGCCCGAATTCATTGGTTGATCCTTGCTGATCCATCCGTGGCTCGGGCCACACGTGCCTCTGACGACAGATGATGACCCATGCACACGTGTGGATGATAGTCGAGATACTGTAGATGCTGACCAAGGATCAGACAAAAAGGGCTGTGTCCGGCGCTCCGCTGCATCGAAGTGGATCGCAGAAACCAGCAGCAGAGGTACCTGCACCAGCAACAGTTGCATCAGCGACATGTCGGCAAGTGTGCCGGCTCCAAATCCCCTTGACGGTACAGGCGAGCCTGCCGAAGCCATTCCGAGCGTAGAATCTTGAATACTCTTAAACCATTGCCAACAGAGAGAGTGAGGCCACCAAACAATGCCTTGATTCAGGAAGTATCTTTAGCCGGATGCAATACGCCAGAGAGCATGCGCAGCAAACCACCACACTGATTAAACTGACAAGAACGGCTTGTAAAAGAGGAGATATAGATGCCCCATGTACTAGAAATGTAACTAAAATGTAAGATAGTCAGTTGCAAAAAAAATAGTCAGTTGTGTAATGTCAAACCAATTCAGTTCTGTTCTGAAATTGCTGCAAGCTACTTAAGCACTACTGGCTGTCCGCGATCTCTACACTATCCATAGGCAAAGGTTTCATCTCTCCTAGATTTCTTAGGATTCTAATTTCTTCTCCAACCACCATGATGTTGCAGACACTGCAAAACAATGCTACCCAACATTAAGGCTACCACTGAATTGTGCGTCATGGAACTGCTAAGAATGCACAGAACGAAACTCATGCAAAGTGTCATAAGTGCATGACACCAATTAGCAATTGGTTGAAACGTACACTCACCACTTTGAGAAACAAAGGCACAAAGAAGACACACACAGAGTGCATTTTTGTGTCTTTGTTTGTCTTTATGTAGAGTTCACACTGCCTTCGTGTCTCTGTCTTTTGTGTTGAGTCTGTGTCTTGCAATCACATTTAAAAGAAACTTGAAAGTGCCCAAGTCTTTCAAAAAAATGCAACAGCTGGCTGCAGAAATGCATTGTTGACGAACCGTAAACGAGCCAGACTGATTGGCAGCCCAAACTTATCGCTCTGATTATTTGACATGAAAGACCTGCTGTGCAGTTTAGAGTGCATGTTGTAAAAAGTCTGCAGCAAAAAAAAAAAAAAAACTAACAAGGCATAGAATGTGGCTTGTGACATTGTCCAAACGGCATTTTCTCGTGCTGCAGCTCAAGCAGTGAAGAAATTACAGGACAGGAAGTGAGAGCTTTCAGTTACACTCCTTTACTCTCCAAAAATTGGCTTCTTTGCAGTGATTTCAGGTGGTCACAAGATGTATTAATGCCAGACGTATGCCGGCAAAACATGTGGAGCTCACTCACGCTCGGCCAATGCATTTTGCCCTTAGGGCTCATTTGGCCTCAGGCTTACAAAACATTTTCTCAATCGGACTCAAATTGACTAAATTACTTACCCCGACTCACTCATACACAGACTCACCACTTCAAGTTTGAGCGAGTTCACTTGTGAGTTTGCCAACCTTTGATGCCAGATAATATCTTGAAATTCAGGATATAACTGGGCTAATTTAAAGCATTACTCACTTAGCTAGACTACATCACTGTAAACAAGAATAAAAATGTGCTGCTCAGTAGAGCTGCTTGCACTCATCTGGGGCTAGAAAATGTAAACCAATCTACAACTATTCAAAGTATACCCATGTCATGCTCTTGCCAAGATAAAGCAGTTTTCAATCACTCTTTAATATAAACTGCCTCAGGCTTGCATGTTCAACATATTGTAAGTACACTCTGAGCTTTCACAGTGCCTGTATACTCTTTTGTAATGCAGAATGTTTACGAATTCTTTCATTTTACTTTTGTGCAAGATCAACATATCGTAAGTACACTCTGAGCTGTCACTGTGCCTGTATACTCTTTTGTAATGCAGAATGTTTACGAATTCTTTCATTTTACTTTTGTGCATGTTCAACATATCGTAAGTACACTCTGAGCTGTCATTGTGCCTGTATACCCTTTTGTAATGCAGAATGTTTACAAATTTTTTCATTTTACTTTTGTGCAGGATCAGCTTCTCAAGTAACATGTTGGGAGCCTGCTCAACCTGTGCATGTGTCACCTTGTGAAGAGAACCCCCGATGAAGCCCTTTGTGATGTAAAGGCTCAATCATATGCTATAATATGTAGTGCTATTGTAGTTATACACACCCAGGGTGAAAGCTTGGAAACTAAAATAAGGATTTATACTAACCAGAGAGAACAACTTTATGTCAATAGCTTGAAGCATGTATCCCTCAAAGTGTTGTTACGCTCTCTGGCAACTTTTTTACCACCTTAAGCCGTACACTGACCTAACCTTCGATATTCGCACGATTAATAGCTGGCAGGACGACAGCGGAGAATGAAGTGAGCAGCACGAGCTAGTATGCAAGGTATGAACAGGGTAAAATTACAAAACGGCTCAAGGAATGCATATCAACTTATGCATTATCATCGAATACAAAGTGAAAACTTCTACTGATCTTTAGAGATGCTTCAGGAAAAAAATATGCCACATTTCACCTATTGCAAGCATTCATACTCTTGTTTCAAAATAGAGTTGTTGAAGCATGTACCTTCAATTTTCTCATATTTTGCTCCGTAGTTGAAAATCTCAACATGCCACTTTATCACAGAAACAATGAGTCAAGCAGCTGAGAAGATAAGCAGGGAGTGAAATGCCAGAACACTGATACAGTCGAACCCATTTATAAGAGACATTAATGTAAGAAACAATTGGATATAAGAGACACTAGTGTGCGTAGATTTAAATAGGGGTTCACAAGAAAATGCTTACGGCGTACCCTGCTCATAAGAGACATCTCATGTACATGACAAGAATTGCTCCCCGGTGTATGCTTCTTATAAAAGTGTTCAACTGTATGCACAAATTGATATAAACAGTATATAAGATCATGGCATCACACTATGGCACGCATCATCAGTCGTTAGACAGATGCTATGAAGCATTTAAAAACAATTACAAAGCCAAACAAGCTATGTAATTGCTTTTTATAGCAATTAAGCCAAAACAAGTTAAATCATTTTGATGTCATTTCTTCCAAGAATTAAAAGATTCTCAGCACTCTTGCATTGGCTTGAATCTGTCTTTATAGGAAATCTTTCTTGTGTGCAGGTACAAGAGCAGGGCCAGGAAACTGCATCACATCCATGTGCTTTTCGCAGTGCATGAAGGATGTACCAGACATCCCGTGCACACAAGACAAAAGCATCCAGGTCGATGTAGACTCCATTATAGGGAAGCAGTTCAGGCTTGTAGATATGCTAACATCAGATAATACTGTGCTTACTTTTACTCGTGTGTCATCAATGACTTTGCTTGTAGCCATTAGTAATGAACTGAACAGGATTGAAGACGCAGTAGCTGAAATGTCTACTCTTGAACGAGTCATTCTCGTACTTGTGCGATTGAAAACTTGCTTGCCCTTTGTGTGTATGGCACCACTATTTTCTGTGAGCGGCACAACCATCTCTCGCCACTTCTGCAGCACACTGTGTAACCTTGCAGCGGTACTAAAATGTGCAATTCCATGGCCAAACAAACAAGAAATTGCAAGCAATCTGCCCCAATGCTTTGAGGAATATAAAAAGGTACGTGTTGTGCTAGACTGCACAGAGGTTGCAGTAGAAAAATCGCACTGTGCTTCTTGTAGAATTTTAACATACTCTCATTACGAAGGTACACACACAGCAAAGCTTCTTGTTAACGTCTCACCTGCTGGCTTAATTACTTTTGTGAGCTGCGGTTTCGGAGGCCAAGCGTCGGTTAGGACTTGCGTAGAGAAATCGGGAGTTCTAGAAAAACTCGACAGTTTTGAAGATGATGTCATGGTTGACAAAGGTTTCAACTTGGGCTCGCTATGCGAAAACCTTGGGCTGGGGGTTGTGCAGCCTCTGTTTCTTCGTGGACAGCTGCAGTTCACGGCGAAAGACTCGAAAAAGACTCTAAAAATAGCCAGGGCACGTGTGCACGTCGAGTGTGCAATCCAGAGGATGAAAGTTTTTAAAGTTCTGAAAGAACCTGCACCTTGGGTAGTTGTCGGTGCCCTTGATGAAATATTTATTGTGATTGGTGGAATTGTAAATCTCTCCTCCCCTATTCTCTCTGAGAAAAGGTTCGAGTGGTATTATGAAGCTTGTGTTCGCAATGAAATCTAGTAGAACTTATTGTGCAGGTAGTCAGCAACTGAGGTCAATGAAGAAGCTAATTAAGCTGAGCACCACAACATGAGAGATAACACACCATTGTGCTATGTAAAGACTATTGAGTTAACGGACCAACACACAGGGTCCCTTGGGCAATCACCTAAGAAGACTTGAAAACGAAAGCCATCTTCTTTTTCTTCTATGTCGATGCACAGTTGTACCCCCCCTCCCCCACCCAGGACACGTATGTTTGTGAAGAGAGTTATTTTAACTGCATTTCCGAGCTGAGGAAGTTATTTTCGATGTACTCCTAAGCATATGCATAGCTGTGTGGTAGAACACCTGCTAGCCACGCATATGGCCTGAGCTCAATCCTCACTCGGACCCGAAAATTCATTACTTATTTTATTTCCATATGTCTCGATTTTTCAATCATGGACAAGATGATTGTTCACTCACAACCAACGATCCCGACGCCAGAATTTCTGTGAAACGAGCTCTTTAATGCTACCTCATTATTATTCACAAATCCATTGATGCTTCCGACTGCTTACACCACGGCTGTGTATAGAGCACATGACGAGTGACAATACACATATATTAAGGGCAGAGGGTTGGCCCATATCTCCCATGTATTCTAAGGCTTCAGTAGCATGCATTTTTTCTTTACTGCATGTAAAGTGTTTGGGTTTGTTTCATTTTGTGCATTAGCATGTTCTTGCAGTGGAACTAAATGATAATAATCTATTCACTGTTGATATTTTTCACATTTGTTTAGCGAAGCATGTACATTTCATTACCTAATTATAGTTCGGTAGCTTCGTATTGATGTTTGGTTTATTTGAGGAAGAAATGATCTGTCTTAAATTGGAAGTATTTCTTAGCGAACTGCAGGCTATCTGTCTCGCCGCCTAATTCTGGATGCTATCTATGCCTCATGATTGCCTCCTTGACTTGGGGTAGACCAAATTAGTATGAAAGGATAAGAGGGTTTTGAGAATATATGTGGCTGATCACGATATGAATAACGAGACAATCATGTCACGTACATCGTCTAAACCTTTCTTTAAGACACGTGTGGCCCATGCCTGTTATCATGGGTCACGGTAGACAGGTAATGCGAGAAAGGTGATTGACAATTTTTACTTACCTAGGAATGGCGAGAACAAACATTGGTGATTCTTTGGGGCATTCAAACATTCTATCATAGTACCACACCAGGTCTCGAAAGTTTTGGAAAAAGGCCCTGTGTAGCCATAATGCCAGTGCAGTGTCAATTGTGGTGCTTGCTACCTAATTATATAAACCTAAATATTACCTATGTACTCAATAATACAGGCGTCATGTCGAGTTAACATCATTTGGAGTTAGGCGCCATCCTCCAAAGTTAGTTTAGGTTGCACTAGCCAGGACTACTGTCCTCACAAGCATAAGGGATACATATCAGTTAACCACTTCTGATGTTGGTAATATCCATGTTGCTGTTGGAATTGTTACGGAACTCTTAACAACTGGTTATATAAAACACATGTGACTGTGTGTGCGTACAACATTTGTGCATATATTTAGCATCATTTTGTAATGTTTTACTGAATGAATCAATTACAGCGCAGTCACTTCCCTTGCGCATGTTTCGTATAACATAAGATTCTCATGGTATGTCGGATCTGCCAAATTTGTTTAGGTTGCTCTGATAATTGGTCAAAGGTAACAAAAAAATAGCTTCGACATATAGCGAGCTGAAGTGAAAAAAAAAAGTTCATTTCTTGTTTTGTTCGAATAGATTATCTGCCATGAAATCATGACATGAATCATCTCTATTTCCTTGTTCCTGGTTTCCTTTGCTGTAACTTCCGTCTCTATTAGCCGAATACTGATAATGGCGGTCAAATGCACCAAATCATATCGCAGCGTTACGCCCAAACGGCCTTGATAGTGTTTAGTGCGGCCATGCAGGCCTTTTAAATAGTCAGAACAGCTTCAAAGATGGCAGTTTTGGGGTCTTTTCATTTAAATAAACATGATACATTGTGTTCTCTATGTGTTCCATGGTTCCGTTGCATTTTGTTCACATACAATTACTCGAAATCACAGTTTGTGGAAGCTCCACATAAATAAAGGGAGAATATCATTTGTTAGCGCAACAAAATCGACAATAGTGCAACTAAACTGAAAATGAATGCACAGAACAGCGCCTAAGTGCACGTCCTGGACACACAAGGCAATAGGCCTAGGTGAATGCAACACATGTTGAATGTTAAGAAAAGCAGCGTCAAGTACCTTTAAGTAGCCATAATACTTTTTTGAAAGTATGTTACGCTAATAAAAACTACTGGTTCCAATTTTAAAAACCATTCACTTGATTTTTAAGTTATTGCACACCACTTAGACGGCAAAGACTGAACCACATGCACACAAGTGCAAACTTTTAACCGAGTTTATTAGATGGACACATGATGCTTTTGTACAATCGTGTTTCATGGTTAGAAAAAAAAAAATGTTGACAAAGATTGATTTACAAAAATTTAAACAGTACACTGCTGATAACCACATACCTATCGCACAAACCTACATTACGAATACAGATACATCCTTCTGCGTTAGTCCCACAGATGGCATACTGACGCAGCCATTCCGCAGTCGAATAATCTCTGACACCTCAATGATTTCGTGCATCTAATAACTGTGTATAGCGACCACCTTGGTTTCATGGCACTTCGGCTGACATCCGCAATCTTGACAATGCAAGCCTAGGTGTCTTTGTACAGATTTGTGCACAGTGTTGTTCTGCTCCCGAAGTCATTCATTAAGGCACCTTCCCCTCTGGCCTACGCAATTCTTTCCGCACGAGAGCGGTATCGCATCACCACTTTTTTGACACAATCCACAAACTTGTTCGTGTGGTTAGTTGTGCAAGCATTTGTTCCCGTCATATTTTTTTTTTTGTTACCCTGCAAAGTGATGAGAACTTACGGGGTGCCAGAAGAACCGCTTACACTCAGACACGGCTTCCAATCTTTTTCAGGCTATGGGAAACGTGAAAGTATGGTATCACAGTGGCCCTACAAAAGTCTTCGTCATCTAAGTGGTGCGCAATAACGTAACAATGAATAGATACTACCGTAACTTGCTCAAGCAAATACCCTTATATTCATTTGAGCCAGGAACCCCAGGTTGTGCACGCTCCGAGAAAAAAAGGGACTTGGCTGCTCGTCAGTTAGTCTTCAAAAGCCAGGTCGTTCAGCTTAATCAAAACACACAAAAATGTGTGGGGAATTGAATATTGTTGAGGAAAGCTCTATCATCACAAACAACCAAAAATTCTAAATCTGATTTTATTAAATTTACCCTACCCTCAGTCATTAAAAACTTAACATGGCAAAGGAGGTAAACGAGACCAAATGTTACTGAACAGAAATGCATAGCCTGCTCATCCTTAAGCAGGCTCAGCAAGTTTCGGCAAAACATGCTTGAAATACACAAATTGCAGCTTGCGGACATGTTTGTCGATGTGGTCATCATTTCTATGCACAGTTAATATCATTGACTCCAGTTCTGAATACACTATGAAGTGTGTAACAGCCAAGTTCAAGAGAAACATGGCAAGCTGCACCTGCGAGAAGTATGCATGCCTAGGGTTTACAGTGAAGTTTTCGCCGTTCTTCTTTATGTAGGCAAGCTTCTTTTGCGTAGCAAGTTAGGAAGCAGTTGAAGCTTTTCCCAGTACAGGGCTCTTGACTTCCAACAAAATTGCAGAATTGGAATTCTTGAAAACACCACCATCTGGGCTGTATCCAAGCCATGGAACCTTGGGGTGAACAAGGAAACCAATCTTTGAAACGTCGTTTCTGGTTATGCTACCGTATTTTTCAATGGCTAATTGTTCGCAGTGTTTACCATAACGAGTAGCGTTATTTCCCCAGAAGCTTTTGGAGAGCATTTTGGACACCTTGCTTTCCCAAGATGTTGGATATTTTGTTGCTTTCCCAAGATGTTGGATGTAAAATAAGCGTGACATATACTCCCTGTTATCCTCACTTTTCGAGCTCCTCGCCACTTTGTGTTGTCCTTATGCCTTGTCTCAGTGCACATTAGAAGTGCCTCCTCTTCAGTGAGTTCAATGTGTGTGTTGTAGAATTGAAGCTCATTTTTCGCAAGGTCATTTTTGGAAAACTTATAAATTCTCATAGCTGTTGCATCACTGAATGCCACATCATGGAACGTTAACTCACTGTATTGTTCCATTTCATTCTTCATGATGTGCTTGATTAAAATTTGCTCCTGAATAGTGCTACACTCGCGAACTTGATTGCTTTCAATATGGTGCGTTCTGCTTACTCGCATAATAATAGATTACTTGGGATTACTTAATAGATTACTTGGGAAGCACGTGTCGAGCATGTTTTGCAAAGTCGCACGTAAAGGTTTACTGCTTAGTAACCTGTGATGTTGGCTCACTTTCTGAGACGTGCCTATTACACAGTTATCTTGAACATTTTGTTGTGCACTTCAATGTTCCCGGTCATGAGAATTTATTTTGCTCTGTAAAAATGAGTCTTTAGCAGTGATTCTGGCATAAACTAAACAGCATGAAGAGACCATAGTGAACCATAAAATTACTTTTTCACTCATTTGTAACTTTAGCTACTTATACAAAATATTTATGTGCAGTCAGTCTTGAGCTACTTGATTGAGGAGAGGCAAATTGAAAAAAAATGCTGAGAAAGGTTTTCGAACAAATATTTTTGGTAGTGTAGCTTCTGGTACTACCATCAGAGTTCACGAACAATTTCTGTTGAGACAGTAGCCCCATTGAATCATACTAGAGGCACCAGAAGCATCAGTGCATTTGAATGCTGGCTGCTGCAACATTAAAAGCCATAAGCCGAAAGTGGCTAAGGCAAAATTAGAACCACCTGTAATGTTTGTTTGTTTCTGAGTTTTGGACACCATGGATTCGAATAGTGTGTATGCTATGCCTGAGAGTGTGAGGAGGCCAGTTGCTGTAAGAGGCAATGCTTGTGATAGCGGCAGATCAGTATCATTATTTGATAGTGAGTGCAAATTTTGCATGACTTTTTGTAACCTGTTTGATTATGACCATGTGACTACGTGCACTTGCAAATGTCTGTATCATGAATATATATTGTAGGGCGATGGTAAATAAAAGCTGAAAGTTGGTGCCTGTTCGTGTTCATTCTTTCCATGTCCCTGCCGAGTTTATAAGCACATACCAGTTTTACCTTCAAGTGTGAACCAAAGCGCCCAGCTACAAGTTTCATCACTGTAGAAAACATTGATGGAAGTTTAGATCACGTTGTTTTGCTATCTGTATGCTTGGCTGGTGTTTTATACAATTGAATAAAATGAGAAAACTGCTCCTTGCCTGTTCACATGTAGCAACATTGCAATCATATGTTTGCAACGCTCAGCGTTTCCGGCCTTGCAGGAGCAGTGGTCCTGCAGAAGAAAGTAGGTTATGCACATAAGCCACGTTTGAGAACATGGTAACACTTCTTCCAAATAAAGATTGCACTAGTGCGTTAGTCACCTAGGCTCAGAAAGGGAAGCTGCTTCGAGATGGCAGCTGGCAACTGTCAAACTTGGTCCACCATATCCTCACATGCACCATAACCACCCAAAGTTTACCTAAAAATGCTTTAATTGGGTCAGTTATAAAAGCATAAAATCAGCAAAACTGATTTAGGTATTCATACTACTGCAGTTTTTTTTACAACAAAAAATTTGGTTGCTTTGGGTAACATTTCATTATTTAGGAGTGCCATAATTATAGTGGGCTAAAATTCAGTTAAGAACACTGCTTGATCGCTTGCATAATACACACAGTTTATCGCCGCTGTGCATGAATTTTGAGTGTTTGATAGTTTGGCAAAAATACAATAAAATTTTGAAGTACAGAAGTGCAGCTCGCAATGCAGGAAAAAATGGCAAGGTACAGCCTGTTTCATACTCAACGGGATACCAGGAGCGCATTACAATAAGTTTTCACCGTAACGTACACAGATTATTGCTTGGGTTTCGGCTATTCGCGGCGCTTCTTTTTTAACCCACGTAGGTTGTATGATAGTGCTTTCAACCCCACCCCAAGCATCTTGCTTTGTTTTCGTTGCTGAGGCAGGTGAAACTGAATAAGCGAATTTCCTGGGCGACACGCTGAAGCGCACGTCCTCCACCTCGCAGGCTCATTGCGAGGTGGAGGATGTGACAGGGTCCGCAGCTCCGTGCTGTCGCTAGCTATCTAATCTCTATCTTATATCGTGCACTAATTACTTTCGATCATAATCCAATTTGCAAACGAGAACAGCGTACTTTTTCTGGCCTACTCCGAAAACGCACTCAGCCATATCGTCGTTTTCAGATACTGTGTGGTAAGATAAGCGCGTACGCACTTCTTGTTCGTGACGGGACAATGTCGAGCACGTACGCATTACTTATTGAACATGCTAGTCATCGGTTCGGTGTAGACATATGCGCAGCCACTGTGACCGCATAGAGCTCACGTAGTACGTACCTTGATGCGACTGTTCACGTCGAAAACGAGCTCCAGCTCATGAGGCTTCTCTCGAACATGGGACGTTTGCAGGCAGAGTCCTTGAATGGCAACGGCATCAATGTTGCATGCTTTGACGCCACAACAAATACGGTGGCCGGCGTTCAAAACCTCTTCTCCCTCGATGAGACACCGAACCCTTTTTTCAGAAGCTTCGAGGTGTGCCATAATATTCGCTAGTGATAGCTGCTTTGTAAAAGGCAGTGGCATTTTACAGCCGTTCAGAATCAACTCTGACAGAGACTACAAAAGGCCGGCCTGCTACGACACACTACATGCAGTGAACAAGTTGATCATCTCTCGGTCCTCCATCTTGAATCGCTACGCGCGCCACCTATAGTTCGCGTGCATTGCGAATAGGGAACCAAAGCTCAAGCAACATAATTTGTTTTGATTTGATTCCTCCATATTTGCACATATTCGCTTGCGGCTCTCACGCCTCGTCTTCTTCGTTTGAATAAAAAGAAGAAGTAGGGAAGCAGCAGCGCCATTGTACCGGTCTCGTGGGAAGTTATAGAGGAGGCTATGGCTCAAGTTTGCAGAGCGACGACAACCCCGCACCTGGCCCCGACGGTGAGCTTCGGAAAACTGGAGGGTAGGTGCGAGGAAGGGCGCAAGCGAGTCAATGTGTTTCGCAGATTCGGGAGCGCGTGCGACACGACAGGCACGGAACACGTTTTGCAGTTGGTGTGGGCAACTTAGGCGCCGTGCCGCCAGCTTGGCGCACTTAAACGGGACGCTCGCTGTGCGAAGTTGCCTTTCCACAAATGGTAGAACCGGCCCCACGAAAGCGTCGGCGAGGTCCAAAGTAATGTGTTGTGGGCTGCCACAACAGTACAGACAACACCAAGAGACGCTCTCCACGCGTAAAGCTGTATCAGTTTTCAGCAAGTCACAGCCAGCGAACAAAGCCACGTTCGCGAAAGACAGAGCAAGCATGACACGACAGCCAAAAACAAAAACAAGGTGAGCACTTCAACTCGACTCGCTTGGGTGAAGCTTAGCATGCTGCTTCGTGGCGAAGTCAGTGGGTCATGCTCCCGCGGCACGAAAGACGACTCTAAAATGTCTCGGACATTTTAATGCCATGACTGTATAACTTAAGTTTTGGGAGATGATTTAGACTCCAAGCAAAAGATTTTGAAGAAACCCGACGACGTTTCGAAACCGACTTGGTTTCTTCCTCAGGGGTGACTGCAAGACTACGTAGCAGCGGCGTCTTCAAAGCACTCGCGGGGCAGATAATGACGCTTCTTCTCTCTCTCGTTTTGCCGTGGAGCGCAGTCTATGTATATACACTGGGGGAAGGGCTCCGCGAGAGCGGTTAATGTTATGGGCTGTCCTCTGTATGTGCTACGACTAGAGTCATAATCTTCTGAGAACCTTCAGTTCGGCTTGCTTTCAAGGATGGCCTTGCTTCGAAATTTATCCGGTGATCCAACGCCTCAGCATGCTCGGCGTCTGCGCTGCGCTCTTTGTAGAGCTTCCGCACATCGTTGGCGTGTTGCTTCAGTCGTTCCCGTAGGTTTTTCGTCTCGCCGGTATACGATGAAGGGCACTCAGCGCACAGACTTTTGTAAACACCGCTAGGATAGCTGTAGACAAGTTAGTACAGACCTCAACTGAAGTTGTCGCGATGGTGGATCTTGCATACGTTGTCGAAGTAGTCAAGAACAATGGAAAAAGCTCAGGAGAAGCAGCCAAAGCGCAGTTGCAGATAGCTTCCAGGAATACGAGCGAGATGGTACAAAGAGCTGCATTGTTCCTAAATGTGCTAACCAATCCGCCAGTCTAGAGTAAGAAGAAGAAAGATGATTTGGTTGAAAATAATTTAGACTGTGCGAGTTCGACGGCTGACGAATGCTGTGAGAGAGTTGTCGAGCTTGAGAAGCGATGGGGAGGGTTGGAAATAAGCCGCAAGAAGCGGCACAGACGCAAGAGACGTCGGAAAGCCGCGAACAAGACAAACGGCACTACGCGTGAACACGAAGGCTCGAAATCTATTAGCGTAGCAAGCAATACTAGAAGTTTTGCATCAGCACCAAAACTGCTTTTCATGCGTCCGAACCACCCTCGAAAAAGTAGAAAGAAAGCCGGTTTGCTAATAAAACCACATGTAAAGCCCCAGTCTTCTCGTTCCATCTACAGCAAGTTTCATAGGGTGCCTTTCAGTTGTAAAACCACCCTTGACGCAACCCGACACAAATTTCAAAGCAGCGAGGGAAAGGTCTGTCACAAACATCGCCAAAAAAAAGGGAAGCGAACACGCACAGCAAAGCGAAGGGATGAAAGAAGTAGCAAGCAGCCCGGCGAACGAGAGAAGGATAGATCATCGACCAGTTCAACGAACCGGCCTTTGTGTCGTGCAGCAAGGCGCCATAGGCGAAGTGGTAATCCACAGCAAGCATCCTTGCTACGAAATGCGCGGCGTAGATTTAAGGCTTTGTGTGGACAAGAGTGTCAACGTGGTGCTAGACGAAAAGCCACAGTAGCTAAGAGCCGCACGGGTGCAAGCCCAATGTGGGCATCGCCATTCTTTCCCGCGCGTTGCTCGGGTCCCCTCCACCAGACTGACATAAGCTGGCCAAAATCTCGAACGAGGCGCGACTGTGCAGTTCCGCTGGCAGCACATACACGTTCTAGTCTCGGGCATTTTCAAAATCCACCAAGACCGCTACCACCGCGTGTACAATTGTAGAGTGAGGGACAGCTGTAAGCTGGAGAGTGGGACACAGGAATTTTCTTGGAAGCATGTTTGTTTATTTTTGGTTTCAAAGTAATATTCCTATGTCACCTTCACGAATAGTTTGTTTAGTTAGTTTTCCCATATAGATTATTTTTGTATGCTTTGTAAGAGTTCTCAGTTAAGTTGTTAAGCGTTATGAGGAAGCAGTAACTCGCATCAGTAAGCCGTCTGCTTGAAATGAGTTTTTTTGTTGCTATAAGAGCACATTAGTCGTAAATAAAGATTTGTACGCCCGCTAACTTTGAAAGTGAGGTAGCGATTGTCGAGCGGAGCCAAAGTTTGTACGTTTTGTACCTTTGTGGTGTAGCACGACTTTGTGCACTGTCTTAAGAGAGTAGATGAGCATTGTTTGGGACAGTTTTAGAAAAAAACCAAAAGCGGTTTTCTAAAATGCTCATGTTTTGGTACAGGGTTTTTAACAGAAAACTTACCCAGATTTTGTTAGGTGCTCCTGATGTGTACGGCATCTAGCATCACTTTCATTGCGTGTAGGTCCTTTGTGAACATTTACGTTCAGATGCGTGTTTAGTGGTGCCTAGGTTATAAGGATATGGCACTACGATATGGCCTATGATAAGGTGTGTGTTAGTATGCTTGCGCTCTTTGGATGAGAGTATGATGTTGAGCTAGGGCGCATAGCTAAGTCCTGTGCGTTCTTTAAAAAAATGGGCTAAGATGAGGCTACATTCAGCAAATGAGTGGGTCTGTATACGAGGTTTATTACCTTTGGTTATTTTAGTGAGTGCTTAAAAATGATGTGATCTCATGAGCTTAGCATTGCTCTTTGACGAACGATAAGGTAAGTCATTCGTTTCAAGGAGTATTAAGACTCAGTTGTATCTGTTGTGAGAGTTTTCGTTTGCGTTAGGGTGTCCCACAAGCAGGTAATAGCGACTAAGTTTCGAGTATGTTTTGAGAGAATAAAGAATGCACTCAGATATCTTGTGTAGGTTTCAGGCTGCATTCATGTGGAAACATTGTAGTTGGTTGTCTTTCATGAAGTTAGACATGAAATTAGCAGATGTTAGTTGCAACATAACAGTGCTGATGGTAGGAAAAAGC